TGCTTTGTCTGCTATGCAAGTTAGTGTGTTAGCACTTCACTCAGAGCAAAAGACCATCAATACTGTCAAAAGCACTCCCTCATTTGTGGAACTTCCAGGGGGTTGTGGGATGAAGGAAATATCGCTGCATCATGTATCATTAAGTATGACAATGAGCTTTAATGAATGCAATGGAAAGTGGAATGGTTGAGGTGGGTTTGGGACAAAAAGGGGGATCAGAGCACAGCAGCCTCTCCCTTTTGGATACAAGATGTCCTGGTCAAAACACTGGTGCAGTATCTTCACCAAATTGGTACACATGTTATAATCAGGGTTGTGGTGGAATAGACGATAGCCTTGGTGAAGATGGTTCCGCAGCTTGGAGCAGTCTGGCAGGGGATGTCTTCAAATATAGTCTGAACATCTTGCCATGCCATGTTCTGTACAATCAGAGCAAGCAAGAAGGTGATGTGATAGATGGTGAGAAACCAGAGGAATGGGAGCAGTCTTCCAAGGAGGAGGATGAAAATGTTCAGCTGAAGGAAGCTCTTCTTGTGAATGACAGAGCTCAGCTGAAGTGGAAGCTGTAAGGCAGACAGGACCTGATTGACACCTGGTACTAGTGGATGCTAGGTGGGTGCAGAATAACATCATGGACTGTCACATTTGGTTCACATTGTGGATGCGAACAGCAGACGAATTCATTTCCCTTCTTTCACTTTTGTTGGTTGTCAATAAAAACTCGTTTTGGATTTGTGTGAATACTTGTTTGCGTAGTTTGCTCCCCCATTTGGACAATGAGAGATGCAGATGACCACTGGGAGAAGACAAAATAGTAGCACTAACTTAGAGAGAGTCTTCAGATGGGAAGTACCTGAGGGCAAGTAAACTGGATGACATAGTGGTGAAGCAGCAACTTATGATGCAGATTGGGTTGCACACACAAGTGAGTGTCAGCCATGCTAGCTCTGTGTCATGGTCAGCGTAGCTTTGTGGTTGCCAAGACATAAACTGCCAATACTTGAGGAGGCGATCACTGGCCTCTCAAAGATGGCACAAATGCGAGGGATACAAGTCTTTTGGCAGATATCTGGTGAGTGGCAAGTTCTGCTGGTAAGGTAGGACCAGAATCAGATGTGAGGGATGTCAGAGGGCAGGGTAGGGAGTTGATGAACTATGTTTGGTAATATAATGGCAAGAAACCTCACTAGGCCTTATGGTGGGAATCCCTCCAAAAAACTCCATGCAATTCATACTTAGAGAAAAAAATTTAGATTCAGCCCATAGTTTCGCTGATAAAATTGGAAAAAAAGTCAATTCTGTTGCACATCTTTTCATTTCCACAGCAAGAGGCCATTTTAACAGTACTGAAAAGTTGCTGATTGCAGCTTTAATTCTTTTGTTTCTTTTTTAAATAGCAGCTAGTTCTCTTACAGCTCTGAGCATTCACTCAGTCTGTCAATCCTAGCTTCACACATCTAACATGATGTTTCATATAATGTGCTTTAATGGCTGCCACAAACTAAAGTGAATGCAGTTACAGTGATGGTAGAGGTCACATGAGAAGTCAGGCATGACACTTTGTACAAATGCATTTCTGCAAACAATCACCATCACACTGAGAGGGTAACTGGAATTCCTTATTCCACCAAGATGATATTTTCTTTCCATGCTGTCATCTTGTAGCATCTTACAATGATGAGTAAATTGAATGCCAAAACTAAATTAGCTTGATTTTGTGGACTCCAGGTCATAGGAAACTGATTTGCTGTATCTCTTACTATAACTTATACTAAATGATATTAAATCAGTGTCTAGACCTTCAGCTCTGAAACTCCTTTCTTAAATCTTTTTGACTCTCAACCACGCCAGAGTCCTTTAATTCATTCTTCTTCGGCCAAGTTTTTGGTCATCTGGTTCAATACTCTATATGTGGCTCAGCATCAAAGTGTTCAGTAACACTCGTAAACTGTTTATGGAAGGTAAATTGTTTTACAAATTAATTTAAATTAAATAAATTAATGATTAACACTCCAATTACAATAAATATCCTTCAACCGAAAAGGGTTGGAAGGCTTATTTTGTGCATTAACATCAATATAAGCTAACTAGGTCAAATGGTCAGATTCAGACACACATAATTGGTGCTAGTTTGATTCGTTGTTTTCAGTGACTATTTATTCCATAGAGCTATGAACAATAAGAGTTTGGTAGACACGCATGAATGCAACCATTAAGTTACACACAACGTCTTAGGTATTTAGTTACTGGCCTAGTGGGATCGAACAAGAGTCTGCTAGGTTTATGAGTGATTATTTTTGACACTTCTCATTAGGCAGAGCATGCAACATGTGGGAGAAACTGATACTTCATCAATTTCACCTCATAGTAAATGTATCTTATCTCTGCTAAATAGAGAACACGTGTGAAGCAGTGTGTGCAGAGATTATGGAGAAGGACTTTGGAGAGAGAAAGTGATAATGCCATAGTCAGAAATGATTAAAAAAAGTGAGCACAATGAAAAGAGTACCATATAGTTGTGAGCGAGTACAAGGATATTAAGGAATTTAGGAAAGTTCATACTTGAAAGAAATTTTACAACTATGTGGTAGAAAATGATAGCCAGTTTACTCCATGTTAAAGATTGATGGTATCAACATGAAAAGAAAGAACTTCAATTGACGTAGTATCTTACTTTGCCCCACGAGTGTCCTGAAGATCTCCACAATCAATGAATTATATTTGAAGCCGTGTTGGTCTTGTTACATAAGAAAATATAGTAAGCCATTTGTACGCAGCAACGGGACAATTTACACTTACAGCCTTCAGGGCTCAACATTAAGTTCAACAACTTCAGAACACAAATTCTGTCTTCCATTTTGATTATATCCCCACCATCAGCATCTTCCTTGCACGATTTCGCTGTCAGGAGAGCTGACCTATTTTCCCTATTAACACATATCGTTAGCACCTGCCCTTCATCTATATTACTTCCATCTTAGCACAACAATTACATTTGCCTTTTGTTCTGGGGCATCTTTACCATATGTTCTACTTATTCCAACTCCCCATTTTTTTTTCCAGTAGAAGACCCATCACTTTCCCAGTCCCCTTCAGCTCTGAAGGAGGGTCAGATTGGACTCAAAATGTTAAATCACTTCATATCTTCACAGGTGTTGCAGATCTCCTGCACTTTTGTTTTTATTTCAGATTCTAGCATTGCAGCACTTCAATTACTTTTATTATTTGAAGCACAGTAAAAATATCTAATCACTGGAAATTGTGCAAAGAAAAGCCAAGAAGCTGATCCATTGGGTGTTAGGAGAGAATTTTTTTTTTAAAGAAACCTGAATTGTTTAGCTTTGTAAAGGAGCATATGTAAGAAGAATATCAGGATATTCAAGTTATCAGGGTTATTGTAACTGGGTGCTGAGCTAGCAGGTGTATGGAGTAATTTGCAGTCTCACTTGAAGACAAATGTATGCTAACTTATTTCACGGCTTCATTACCATCTTACAGTGAGCTGTCTACCAATTTTTCAGTGTTTATGGACAATTCATCAATGAGGTGTGGATACAATTTCAGGCAGGTTTAGCATCAATATAAGAAGTGTCTATCAGCAGATTTTAATGTATGTGAGGGGGGTTTTATCTACCATTTAAAGAATTAAGCCGTATACAGGATGGGAACCCTGGAAGAATACAAGCAATGGCAGGATGAGGCACTTAAGTGGCTACCTAAGGGTTACAGTTGACCTTTGAGTAAGAAGGGCACTCTCCAGTTCTGAGGTTGATCAGGGATGGACAGTGGGGAAGAAAGCAGATTCCCCATTAAATGTCCTCCCGCTAAATGAAATGGCACACCCCACGTCTGAACTCGGCTTGGCTGGGGCTCGGGGCTGCTGAGTATTACATTCCCACCTGTATCGTTCAAATTGTTCTGTACAATTGGAAGGCAAATCTGAAGGATTGCTGTGGTATTTTGGTAGAAAATCTCTGCTACCTAGTTGCATGCTTCATGAGGTTACCAGCAAATCTCACTTCCTACTGCCTTTTCCGACTAATGGCATTGAGGGTCAATCCACAGCAGATGGACTGTAGTGGTTCAAGAAGGCAGCTCACCACTACCTTCTCAAGGGCAACTAGGGATGGACAATAAATGCTGGCCAGCCAGTGACACCCATATTCCACAAATGAATTTAAAAAACTAGAACCTTCTGCTGCATAACACACATTTTACTTCTTCATTCCAATCTGACTCCTTTGGTTCTTAGACTTCTTACACAATTCCAAGCAAGCTGAACACAACTTTGAGGATTAGCTTCTTGTTATTTTGTTAGGAACATTACAACCGCATGTTAAAAGCTTCAGTTCTGATCCTCAGTTTGTTTTCTTGCAGACAGCTATTTAATTGACCAATTAGTAGGTGCTGGAAATACAAGATGGGTGCACAAGAATTTACAGGATTGGGGGAAATTGTGGGCCAGCGCTTGAAATGGAGATTTACAACTGACAGGGTGGTCTGTTCCCCAGCAAAGTGAAAAGCTATAAATTATCTAACAGCAGTTTTTAGATGGTTGCCCAAATTCTCTTGAGCTCTTTCTCCATAGATCGACGCCAGCCAACACATTACAGTTCTTTAAAGTTTTCTAAAAATCTAAGTAGATGAAACAAGAGACACAAAAACAAAAATTGCTGGAAAAGCTCAGCAGGTCTGGCAGCAACAGTGAAAAGAAATCAGAGTTAGTATTTCAGATTCAGTAACCCTTCCTGTTCTGAGGAAGAGTCACTGGACCCAAAACGTTAACTCTGATTTCTCTCCACAGATGCTGCCAGACCTGCTGAATTTTCCCAACAATTTCTGTTTTTGTTTCTGATTTCCAGCATCCACAGTTCTTTAAGAAACAAGAGACACATCTGGCATATATGTGAAAGAGAAAGTAATATGTACTTTCAGGATCAAAATCCACAGATATTGTTCACACATACATTTACTTGTACATGTTGATATGTATTACTTACTGTAGAATGATAGGTAATCAGTAGCATTGGATGCTGAGTAATGGCTTCCCATGATGAGAAAACTATTCTGACAAGTTCTTCTGAACCTGCTTGACCTAAGGTTGAATTTAAAATAAAAATATTATCCAAAAAGTATATATTCTGAAAAGCGCTAAACATGTATCTTGCATGAAAGTCTTTATCATCCTGTCAAATTTTACTCTGTAAGTACAAACAGAACACAGACTCCAGATGTATTTCTTGTTATTTCAACTTGCAGCTAAGCAAAAGATTCCAGGTCATTGCAGGGTCTGTGATCATTTATGTAATTTCAGCTGGCTGGTCAGCCAGTATCTTCTAATGTTGAAGCTATACAGGTTGCTGTGCTGCAGGTTATGATAAAGATAAATAGCCATTTGGCAAAGGAACAAATATTGTTGATGCCCACAAAACAACTACTGAGCCCATGTCAGTTTTTCTGACCTGAGGCTGGGGCCACAAATAAGATGAACTTGAATTAATATAGCATTTTTGATACAGTAAAACGTCCCCAGGTGCTTTACAGGAGTACTATAAAACAAAATATGACACTGACACACAAAGTCACATGAAGTCAGATGGCCAAAAGCTTGGTCAACTGGTGGTTTTAATAAGGAAAAGAAAATACTAAAAAAAAAGGTGTTGGGAGGAGATTCTAGAGCCTAGACACCAGGTGACTGAACATAGAACAGTACAACACAGTACAGGCCCTTCGGCCTACGATATTGTGCCGAACTTTTACCCTAAACCTAAGTAAGATCTATCTAACCTCCACCCCTACCTTAGATAGTATATCATCCATATGCCTATCTAATAGCCGCTTAAATGCCCCTAATGCGGCCGACTCCTCTACCCTCTCCGGCAATGCATTCCACGCCCCTACCGCTCTCTGAGTAAAGAACCTACCTCTGACGTCTCCCCTACATCTGCCTCCACTCACTTTAAAACTATGCCCCTTCGTAATAGCTACCTCCACCCTAGGAAAAAGTCTCTGGCTGTCCACTCTATCTTTACCTCTGAGCATTTTGTACACCTCTATCAAGTCACCTCTCGTCCTTCGTCATTCTAAAGAGAAAAGCCCTAGCTCTCTCAACCTTTCCTCAAAAGACCTTCCCTCCATTCCAGGCAACATCCTGCTAAATCTCCTCTGTACCTTTTCCAACACTTCTACATCTTTCCTGTAATGAGGCAACCAGAACTGGACACAATACTCCAGATGTGGCCGAACCAGGCTTTTGCATATCTGGAGCATAACTTCACGGCTCTTGAACTCAATCCCTCTATGAATGAAAGCTAACACACCATACGCCTTCTTAACAACTCTATCCACCTGGGTGGCAGCTTTCAGGGAACTGTGGACATGAACCCCAAGATCCCTCTGCTCCTCCACACTGCCAAGAATCTTTCCGTTAACCCTGTAATCTGCTTTCAAATTTGTCCTTCCAAAATGAATCACCTCACACTTTTCAGGGTTAAACTCCATCTGCCACTTCTCAGCCCAGCTCTGCATCCTATCAATGCCTCTTTGTAACCTAGAACAGCCCTCCGCACTATCCACAACTTGACCCACCTTTGTATCGTCCGCGAACTTGCTAATCCACCCTTCCACTCCTTCATCCAAATCATTTACAAAAATCACAAATAGAAGAGGACCCAGAACAGATCCTTGTGGTACACCACTCATAACTGAGCACCATGTTGTCCACTACCACCCTTTGTCTTCTAAGGGTCAGCCAATTCTGAATCCAATCTGCCACATTTCCCTCTATCCCATGCCTCCTTACTTTCTGCATGAGCCTACCATGGGGAACCTTATCAAACGCCTTACTTAAATCCATGTATACCACATCCACTGTTCTACCTTCATCCACGTGGTTGGTCACCTCTTCAAAGGATTCAATAAGGTTTGTGAGGCATGATCTACCCCTCACAAATCCATGCTATCACGAATGAAACTGTGCCTATCCAAGTGATCATAAATCCTATCTCTCAGTGCCCTTTCCAATAATTTGCACACCACTGACGTAAGACTAACTGGCCTGTAATTTCCGGGGTTATCCCTATTCACTTTTTTGAACAAGGGAATGACGTTTGCCTCTCTCCAATCTTCCGGCATTATACCCGTGGACAGTGAGGACGAAAAGATCATCGCCAAAGGCCCTGTGATCTCTTCCCTCGCTTCCCATAGAATCCTTGGATAAATCCCATCAGGCCCGGGGGAATTATCTATCTTCAAGTTCCTCAAAATTCCTAGTACATCTTCCTTACTAATATTGACCTCCTCTAGCCTACCAGCCTGTTTCACACCTTCCTCCTCTAAACTAGGTCCCTCTCAGTTGTGAATACCGAAGAAAAGTATTCATTAAGGACCTCTCCTATCTCTTTACGCTCCGTGAACAAATTCCCTTTACAATCCTTGATCGGCCCTACCCTTTCTCTGGTCGTTCACTTATTCCTCACGTACGTGTAAAAAACCTTGGAGTTTTCATTGATCCTACCTGCCAAGCTACACCTGCTACACCCTTATAGCTCTCTTAAGCCCTTTCTTCAGCTCCTTCCTGGATAACTTGTATCCCTCTAGAGCCTTTTCCGTTCCTTGTTTCCTAAACCTTATATAAGCATCCTTCTTCCTCTTAACCAGTTGTTCGACCTCTCTTGAGAACGAAGGCTCCCTCACTCGACTGCATCTTCCCTGTCTGCTAGGGACAAACATATAGAGCACACACAGTATGCATTCCTTAAACAATGTCCACATTTCAATAGTGCTCTTCCCTGACAGCATCTGTTCCCATTTTATGTTACCCAGTTCTTGCCTGACAGAATTGTAATTACCCTTCCCCCAATTATAAACCTTACCCTGCTGTATGTACCTATCCTTTTCCATGACTATTGCAAAAGTAACAGAGTTATGATCGCTACCGCCGAAATGCTCCCCTACCAACAGGTCTAACACTTGGCCCGGTTCATTGCCAAGCACCAAATCCAAAGTGGCCTCTCCTCGTGTTGGTCTATCTACATACTGTGTCAGGAATCCTTCCTGAACGCACTGGACAAAATCCGCTCCATCTAAACTATTACAACTAAAAAGTTTCCAATCAATATTTGGAAAGTTGAAGTCACCCATGACTACAACCCTGTGACTTCTGCACCTTTCCAGTATATGCCTCCCAATCCGCTCCTCCACTTCTCTGCAACTATTAGGGGGTCTGTAAAAAACCCCCAACAAAGTGACTGCTCCTTTCTTGTTCCTGACCTCAACCCAAACTGACTCTGTAGACATATCATTCTCGAACTGCCTTTCAGTAGCTGCTATACTAGCCCTGACTAGCAATGCCACTTCCTGCCTCTTTTACCACCCTCCCTATTTCTTTTAAAGCATCTAAATCCCAGAACTTCCAACAACCATTCCTGTCCCTGAGTTACCCAAGTTTCTGTAATGGCCACAACATCGTAGTTCCAAGTACTGACATATGCTCTAAGTTCATCCGCCTTATTTCTGATACTTCTAGCATTGAAGTATACACACCTCAAACCATCCCTGTGTCCACAATTACGCTCCATCGACCACATTTCTTTATTAACAACCTCACTCTCTGTTGTGTCTGTTGGAAGGCTGAATACCTCATCCTCTGAATTACAAATCCGGTTCCCCACCCCCTGCCAATCTAGTTTAAACCATCCCGTATAGCTCGAGCAAACCTCCCTCCCAGGATATTTGTGCCCTTCCGGTTCAGGTACTACCCGTCCTTACTGTACAGGTCCCACCTTCCCCAGAATGTGCTCCAATTATCCACATAATGGAAGCCCTCCCTCCTACACCAGCCCTGTAGCAATGTGTTTAGCTGCACTCTCTCCCTATTTCTTACCTCGTTATCACGTGGCACTGGTAGTAATCCAGAGATAACTACCCTGTTTGTCCTGGGCTTCAGCTTCCAACCTAACTCCCTGTACTCGTTTTTCACATTCTCAGTCCTTTTTCTACCTATGCCATTGGTACCGATGTGTACTATGACTGCTGGTTGCCAATGCCCGAATATATTAGTTCCTTCCTGGCTCACGTTCTCTCCACTCCTGCCACTGAAAGCAAGAAGGCCGCTGCTGCACAAGGTAAGTTTTTATAAGGAAAAAGCCTTACCTTCCCGACGACACCCTGGCTCATGTTCTCTCCGCTCCTGCTGCTGAAAGCAAGAAGGCCGCTGCTGCACGAGGTAAGGTTTTATAAGGAAAAAGCCTTACCTTCCCGACGGCACCCTGGCTCGCGTTCTCTCCACTCCTGCTACTGAAAGCAAGAAAGACTGAAAGGATGGTCACCAATGGTGAAATGGTTGAAATCAGAGAAGTGTGAGATGCCAGATATTTTTGGTGGGTTACTGAGACTGAGGAGGATTACTGTGGTAAGGAAGGGCAAAGCCATAGAGGATATAAAACAGGATGAGAATTTTAAAATCAAGGCAATTGTTTGATCAGGAGTCAACATAGGTCAGTGAGTGCAGGAATGAGAGATAATCAGGAATTTGTCTGAGTTAAGACATAAGCAGCAGATTTTTAGATGACTTCAAGTGTATGAAGGGTAGAATGTGGAAGAACTGTCAGGTTTGGACGTATTGAAGGCAGGAATGACAGATGTCAGCAAAATAGTTACGATGGCCTACTAAGCCAGCTCTGAATCCTGTCAACACTCCGAGAATTCCAGGACTTCTTTTGGAGAGCAGCAATGCAAACCAGGCACCAAACAAATGAAAGTACACCAGAAGGTGGTGTTCTCAACCTTCCGACTTTGCTTCTTGCAGTTATGCCTGTGGAGGGTCCACATACAGGGACATTTCAAGAATTTGATGCTGGACTTGTGTCAAGGACCCAAATCAGACAGAAAGGAAATCAAGCAGCAAGACGAAGAGGACTGAAAAGTCAAGTCAGAAAGTACCAACCTTATGACCCAGCAGATCTTTGGGGCTGCTTTAAAATATTTATAAAACTTTTAAGCTGAAATGTGACACAACTCAGGCTGACACCAAAAAGAAAAGAAAAATTTACAATTACATGGAGTCTTTCATGACCACAGGATGTCCTAAAGTGTCTTACAACCAAAGAAATACTTTTCAATTATAGTCACCAGTAATCAGGAACAAAGAAATAGACCATTTAGCCCATCGAGTCTGCTCTGCTACTCCTTACAATCATGGCTGATCATCTACATCAATGGCTTTTCCGCACACTATCCCCAAATTCCTTTATCATTGGTATTTTGAAATTTGTCAATCTCTAAACATTCTCGGTGATTGAGTTTCCACAAGCCTCTAGGGTTGAAAATTCCAAAGATTCACAACCCTCTGAATTCTCCTCAGATTAGACATTTGTCTCTGTGATCTGTGCCAAAAGGCTGTGGTTGTAATTTAGCACCAAGTGATCTGAATAGTAAAGGAAAGTTACTACAAGTTCAAGACACATTTATCTTATTTTAAGAATGCTTCTGCATTTCTCTCACATCCCATGCTATGATGTCAGTAATCAGTCTATATGAAATAACTGGAAAAATGCAGGAAAACAGGATTTACATTTCTCCTTACATTTAAATGATGTACTTACCTACTGCACTTTCTAAATTTGTTTCTCCCAAATCAATAGATTTAATGTGATTCTGAAAACAAGCCAACACAAAAAGGTCATGATTAGATATTTTGAAATAGGATAGTCCTCATTATTTTTGCTGTAAACAAATAATTTAATAGGCTAAGATTTATTAAAACTAAAAATTATTTATTTCTCAAACTTTTGACCCTAGATATTACGCACACTGTCCTGCCAATGATTTCAAAAAACATTTACCAGGATGTTGCCATGAATGGATAGGCTATGACTCAGCGACAGGGAAAGGAGTTTAGCAGAAAGGACAGCCGTTGAACAATGCCAAACGTTTCATAAAAAAGCCCATGACTCACACTGAAGATATATCCCAGTGAGGAAGAAAGATTCTAGGAAGGGGTTAAACCAACTACGGTTAACCAGGGAAATTAAGCAAATTGTCAAATTGAAAGAAAAAATACACAATGTGGCAAAGATTAGTGATAAATCAGAGGACTGGGAAAGTTTTAAAAGTCAACAAAGAATGACCCAAAATAAAAATGAGAGAGAAAATAAACTAGTAGGGCAAACTAGTGAGTACTATAAAAATATAATAAAAGATTTTTCAAATATATATGGAAAAGAGAAATAACAGTGAACATTGGGCTCTTAGAGAACCAGGGCTAGTGAAATGAGCATGGTGAGCCAGGAAATGGCGGAGGAGTTAACAAATACTTTGCACCAGCCTTCAGAGTGGAGTACATTAAAAGCATCACAAACATATGAAATAATGAAAGGGCTAACGGGACTAAAGAGGGCGGTGCAAGGAGGAGGAAACAAATGCAATAACTATCAATTGAGAAAAAGTACAAGGAAAACTAATGGGGCCAATAAGACTCTTGGACCTGATGGGTTGCATCTAAGGATTTTAAAGGAAGTAGCTGCAGAGATAGTGAATGCACTGTTGTAATCTTCAAGAATCCAAAGACTCTGGAAAATTCTCAGAGGATCAGAAAACTGCCAATGTAACACCTTGCATGTAATCAATTAAACCAAAAGGGAGCAAGGAATAAAGGCAACTATAGGCCAGTTAGCTTAACATCTGTTTGTAGTGATTGTAATGAGGTCCACCATATGGATCTCACAGAATATGAGTTCCTTAATTGGAGCTGTTAACCTTGTCCAAGCAGGCAGCCTTGGCTGACAGATGTAAATGTGTCAGAGGTTCTGTTCACTCAGCTGGCTCTGAGGAAGTCAGACCAGTGTCAAACACTACGCATGTGTAGATAAAGGATGATCGGGTGATGAGATTCCAGACTCTGGAGTTATTTCAGTGGTGGTGAAAGGGAAAAAAAAAATGCTTCTAAAGAAATTTGTTTGCAACAGTCTTCTTTGAGTTGGGGTAAGCATTTATGGCATTGTGCTGTTATTTAGAAAGCATAACTTCTTCAATCATGGGATAGTAGGAACTGCAGATGCTGGAGAATCCGAGACAACAAGGTGCAGGGCTGGATGAACACAGCAGGCCAAGCAACATCATAGGAGCAGAGAGGCTGACGTTTCGGGCCTAGACCCTTTTCT